GTCCCTTGACATCCGTTGCGAAATAGTATTGGTTTCTATGTCTGCCTTATTATTTATACTTCTTGGTCAGAAATATGGCAATAGTTCTTTGCTAAATTAATAGCGTCCATCAGTAGATAGATGGGTAGAAGTCAGAGATATCAAACTGCAAGAATGTGCATTCCTCTTTTATTTTTTAATATTATTGAACCATTTAATAGCTTTAGATTTTTAGTATACATGCATGCTCACTCCATGATGTTTTTGCTAATTATACCGATGTTATTTTTTGATGGATTCAGCAGGCGGTAATAAGGACCAGGGAGGCAGAATAAGAGAGAGAGAGAGAGAGAGAGAGAGAGAGAGAGAGAGAGAGAGAGAGAGAGAGAGAGAGAGAAAGTGTGTGTGTGTGAGAGAGAGAGAGAGATTGTCACTTAACTGGTCGGTTTCATCACCGTCATGCCGACTTCGACGTTTCGTAAACGTATAGAATTCGTTCACTCATCAGGGCTTTTCCAGTTGTTTTGTCTTTATTTCCACTGTTTGCGTGTTTATATGCTGTTGTGAACATGTTTATTTTTCATTATTATTGTTACATTTCTACGTGTGTCTGTAAGTCTGTAGTTTTTTCTTTGATGAATGATGCGTTCGTCCTTTGGTTGTCTTTTTTATTTTCTGTTTTCTTTCTCTATTTTTTTTATTTTCTTCCGTTATTTCTGTTTTTTTTTTTGTTTGGCTTGTTTGTGGCCTTTTGTTGACTCTTAGGGTTGGTGCGAGGATTTCCTTGATTGGATGTTTTATTATTTTATGGTGTGTTGGCTCCTTAGTGTCCTTGATGGCGGCGGTTGAATGTTTTTATGTGTGTATGTGTTGTATGTTTGTACGTGCATTTACGCGTCCGCGTACGTATATTTGGCTGGGGGTTTGCGTCTGAGTATGTGTTTCTGTATATGTGTGTCTGGGTATATATATATATATATATATATATATATATATATATATATATATATATATCTGCTTGTCTGAATCATCTTCAAGAAGCGAGAGCAAGATCTAAAATGTCAGCCAATCTAACAATGACCTCATTCCACAATACTCACTCTTGCTTCATATGTGGCCTCCTTTGTAAATCACTAGCGTGTCTTAAGTGCCACTTAAGATTATCGCACAAAATTTCACAGCTGAATCAATTAAGCGGTTAGATTTTCATTCGTCGAAACCGACGGAAGAGTCCATTATATATATATATATATATATATATATATATATATATATATATATACAAAGCAGCATGGCCCGGCGTTACCTGTGCATGATTCAAAAATTGTACGACTCATACAGCAATCGCTATCACTTGACTTAAAATATTTTTGCCCTTCCTTGCCTTTAAAGCAGTGTCCTTTGCCGTGCTGATGTTGCCACATGCCTTACTTCTTGCCTATCTCATACTGCGAATTTTTTCTAAGCTCGACACTAAACATTAAATCTGTTACGAAAAAAGAACTAAACAAAATGAACACAAAACGATCAGCTTTAAAAAAGGACTCGTAACTGGAAAAACCGAATGAAAAAAAGAATGTTAACAACAAATACTTTTTCACACCCAACCAAGTTCTGCGGAATCAGAATCAACGTTGAGTTTAAGCAAGCGAATCAGCCAATTGGAGTAAAGTGCCATGCAGATTTAAATTTTTCCCACTTGTGACGAATGCAACTATCGATTTTTTTTGCATGCTAGCATGCTAGTTAACATTCGTGTTAGTCAGCTATTGGCTCTCACGTTGGCCAATAGAATCTTCCAGCCTATTCGTGGCAGCCAGCTATAGGCTCTCACTCTGGCCAGTACAAAAAGGCTGCAAACTACGTGAAAACTGCCGTAGAAGCATGAAAAATCGATTATTTCCACTATCGATGGGAGTTGGGAAATGCAAAGTCGGTTTTACCCTTCCCGCTAATTTGGAGCATGTGCATGTAAATTTTTGTGCAAATCCGTCGAAAATTGCGGCCGTGCATTCGATTTACCTTTTGAGAGTTCTGAGGTGATAGTTTTCTTTTCAGCATCACTTAAACTGCTTTTACGGCCCATCATTTCACTAAATTCTTACACTTTTCTAATAATTTTGCACGCTCAAATCACCCTTCTGATAACAAATATGGCGCCAGTTTTTTTTTACCTTGCGCAGATCAATACGAACATTTCAGTGATTGCGCAGGTCAGTGTTGCCAACATTGTGCGAAAATTTTGTGTGAATTGATTGGACAATTTTTGAAATATTAGAATAAAAGTTATCTCGATAATAATTTGGCTGGCACGTAGTATATATATATATATATATATATATATATATATATATATATATATATATATATATATATATATATATAAGTGGAAAAGAACGAGAGTTGACAATCGGTTTTATGTCTGAATTCAACCTTTTGACATGACCTGAATAGCATTCTATTTATCAGCACCAAAGACCTGCAGGTCCCAATACTTATCCAAAGAAGAAATATACATAGAAATCATTTTCAAAAACGTCCAATATCCTTATTATTTCATGCGCAATGCTAAGACAAAGGTATACAGAATATACAACCGCATAAAGATAACAATATTATTAACAACAAAAAGTAGATAAAAACACACATATAATACTACCTACTCTCATAAAAACTACTATCCAAAACAATCTTTTCAATCTAAACGACATGAAAATGATTGCAACCACATTCAAGACTATCATGGATGTTGACCAGAACCAAAATTAACCATAACATTAATGATTCTGAAATAGGTATATATAAAGTAAATTGTCAGAACTGCTCCTCACGATACACTGCAGAAACTAATACAAAAAACATCTACGAACACAAAAGAGACCTTGTACAAATATATTAGTTATAAATGGAATAAATTCAAACACGACATTGATCTAAAGAATGTCACACTTATTAAAAGACAAAGTAATTTACTTAGAAGGAAAATTTTCCAGAGTGCCGCTATCGAATCTTGTCAAAATGTAAATCTACGCCCCAGATTCTTTCCATTATCTCCATTCCTGACTTCTATTACAACTTTCCCAAAGCAAGATACATAACTACAAAAATGTAAAAAACGTCATAAGAAAAAAGTTAAATTCATAACCTGATGTGACTTAAAATATGTCACACATCCATTAATCTAACGTTAAAATAATTTAAATACTAATTTGCATTAAAAAATTCAAGAAAATCAGTTACTAACTATCACTTATTAGACGTTGAATTGTGTCATTTCGTGTCCTCCATAATTTGCCTTACTTTTCATCCAGACTCAGGAATATTTGAGTGTTCCTATACATAAAATTGGAAAACCAACATCATTTTTGCTCTTGTGTATATATACTTTTTTTGCAAAATAAAATCATTGTATTTGTCTTGATAAAATCGCTCAAAGAACGAAACGTGTCAACTAATTTTTCCTTTTGTTCTTTTACAGATACACCCTATCTGAAATTTTTACACAAACACACAGGCACGCACACACACACACACACGCACCTCTCTCTCTCTCTCTCTCTATATATATATATATATATATATATATATATATATAAAAGTATGTATGTATGTATGTATGTATGTATGTATAAGAGGTGATGCTGAAAAAGTCCGACCAAAAAGTTCTTCTTTTTTCAGAATTCTGATATTAGGTCATTCTTGGAAATCGGTCGAGCTGAAAACCATCTTCTATATATATATATATATATATATATATATATATATATATATATATATATATATATATATATATATATATATGAAGACGCGAAAATGTTACCGTTTTATACACATGGATGAAAAAGGAAAAAAAAACATATCCAATATGGTGGTGTATTATAAAGTCTGGAGGTCAATGAGTACCAGCTAAAAGTTGATATAGACACTTTTAAGTCGATTTGCACTTTTCCCTTTGCCACTTTCTCTCGTGTGCATGTGCGTAGATGTTTGCTCAATTAATTTCTTTGTGTGCAGTTTTGTGTGTGCTTGTATATAACTCTGTGCAGGTAAATGTGTGTGTTTCACGTATATCTCCGTGTGTTTATTGAACTCTTTTCTTAGTCTCCGTGTTAGCACTTGTGTTTTCTGTTTCTGTATATATATATATCTGCATATCTCTGTTCAAATCATTTCTTTGTGAAGTGTTCATGTCTTAGTGTGTGTGTGTGTATATGTGTGAACGTGTGTGTGTGTGTGTGTTCTTTTTTTTACCATTTTTTGAGGGTGTGATTCCGTTACTTTGGGGATTGCACCAAACTTGGGTCACGCTCCAAGATTTGCCCTCATTCACCGCTTTTTTCATAATAAGTAACCGATTATATTTGGCATATGGCATCAGTCATGGCCGACGTTTACCTTTTTTTTTTTTACAACAACATTATCTCCATCGTGAGACGCACGTCTAAATACACAGAAACATTTGCACTTCCATTATATTTAATAAATTTATTAAGTCTGGCACAAGGCTGTATACTAAATGCAAGTATACTAAATGTTCGTAAATATGAGATGCTGGAAACATGTTCAGATCCTTGTACTGCTCAAGAAAGTACCCAACTCCTCCTGATATGCTCTGTTTTACAACAGAGAGATCAGACAAAAAAACATGGACAACTGCTGCCATATATGTAGTCTTGATATGCGGCATTGTTGGCGATTAATTATTTTTCACAGATGGGAATTTGCGAACCTCTCATTGCTATATCCATTGAAAATATTCTGACGCGCTAAATTCTTTAGTTCTACGAGTTCAGACATTCACACCTAATCTTACACATTCACTTCTTATTCCACTAGTAAGAACGAAGTTCCATTCTCACAACTTATTCCCGAGAGCTTCTGCTTCGTGGATCAAACTCCAAAGTGGATGCTTCCCTGATCATTACAATACTAACTTCTTCAATTCTATCTATCCTACATATACTCATAAACAACAACTTCTTGCCTCCCCCTCGGTAAAACAACCAAACTGCCTGAGGCTCACGGCCATATCATGCTGAAACATCGGTTCCAGTACGACCAACGAAGTTAAGCAATGTCGAGCCTGGTTAGTACCTAGTTGGGTGACCGCTTGAGAATACCACGTGCTGTAAGCTTGAATGTGCGGATGGTGTGATGGATAATGGCTTGGAATTGTTAATCGGAAATCCAAGTTGCAATTTTATTTGGGCTCGTTATATTCACTTAAGCGCAAATACCTTTAGCGAAGTTATGAATCAACTTCTCCCCCCAGCTATAGGTTAATTAGTAAGACTTGTGTAGCATCGTATGCAAATTAGATAGACAAGTATAAATAGAGAACAACTGGCGAACATGAGGGGTGGCTATCCCTAGCAAACCCGGTTTCTATTCAGGACACGGAGAACTTCTACGACTTCTACTACACCGAGAGATGTACAAAACATAACTTGTATCACTAAATGATTATCTCGAAAAAGAAAATCTTACAATCTAAAAAAATGTCTGGCTTTAAATAGACTTCAAATGGTTGCTAAGCTGTAGAAAACGAATCTTGTCGCCAATAATTTTTTTATCTGAGTGTTAAATTCTCTAGGCCTTCTTTCCTCATTATGTTTCCCTATAATTTCAACTGTCTTTTTCAGATTTTGAGTATAGTTCCTATTCTCCTTAAAACGTCCTAGTTGCTCACAGGATCCGTCCGTCTTATTCTTAGCATCAGTCGGTAGAACCTCATATTGCTTCCTGTTTCTTTTTCATTTCTGAAGATATTGTTCAGTATATTCTTTCATATAGGACATTAAATAAGACATACAATTTTAACATTCGATCGTTTCTTAGAACATTTTCTTATGTATGAATACTTTGTGTAGCTTCAGGAAGACATTTTTCTTATTACAATGTCTCTTTGGATTTTTCCAAGATAGTTAAATCTGGGTAACTGCTTCATTTCAATGTCCGCAATACTTCCCAATATCTTGCTTTATTTCTTTTGTTTATCACCGTGCATTCTGAGATACGAATGACTTATAAATATCAGAATAAGTACCATATTTGTGAAGTTCCAAAAATGTATGTGGGAAGATTGGTAACATAGACTTGGATCTTGGAAAAAAAAAAAAACGGTTCATTAGTGCCCTGAATGAACAGGTGATTATCAAAATATAAGTTGAAATATTTGTGTACTTAGAAAAACAACTAAGGAGACAAGGAAACAAGTGAGTTTCCGTCAGTATAAAATCAGCTTTCAGCCATATGAAAGTAGCACTGGTTACTCGGTTAATGAATGCCGAATGTTTCCTTATAAGCCAACGGTTTATATTACTATTACCATTACCATTAAGAAAGGATGAAACTCCAAAACAAAGGGACGTGGTAGCCCCTGTTAGGGTCCTTGCTATGGGCAAATAGTGAACAAACAAACTGGAGTTAAAAACATTATGAAAATATAAAAAAAATTATAGTAAAACTTTCCTGCAATAGACTTTGATAATAAAAAAAAAATACCAAAGCGCCCAAGAAAACAAAATTTCGACATTAAATGACCTCTAAGAAGTAGATATGTCGCCTAAACAAACCAAACCAAACAATACAAAGATGTACAAGTAATGCCTCAAGTGCAACATAAATTCAGCAGTAACTTCACTTGCAGCTAAATATATGCAGCTGCAGTTAATGAAGCAGTTCAGAAATACTCTATGCGTGTATCTTTAGATTGACTAGAAGGGTGATATTTTCTGTGTAGAACCTAAGAAGAATTCAAGTGTCAATTTCTATTTATTTTATGACGTAAAAAACACAGTACGCTTTATATGCCATCAAATAAATTATTAATAAATGATTAAGCAATTTTTCTAAATTCCTTTGTCGATCGGTGCATTTTCCACCTAGTTAAAGGCGGTAAAATTTATGAAGGTGTGAGTGGTTCTCGGGATGGGTGGTTTTGTTTGATGGCTGAAACAGCTATGCGTCCACAATTGGTGCCAGATGTCTGTATTCAAGTTTAGATAAACACCACAGATAAATTAAAAATTGCAGACCATTTCAATGACTGCTCTCTCTCGTGTATATAACTTGATTAGAGACTAAATAAACTTTAATTTTGAATTCAGTTCACATCGTCCTTATTTAAATCAAGACCGCCGATTATGTGTTTTATCGACTTCCAATGCCTTCATTAATATGGATAAAATCGACGCAAATCGATTCCTAATCGAGGTACAAAAAATAATACATTTCTGGGCACTACTCCTGAAATCTACTCGGAATGGCAATGTTCAAGTTATCGTCTATTGTATTTATGATGTTCGCTTTCAACATGACCTTAAACAAAAGGTTAGAAAGGAAAGTCCCGTCAGTACCAGGAAGGACGATATTTTATGAATTTCAACCGACTGTAGCGCTATTTGGCGAAAGAACGTCAAATATTTCCTGTATGGAAACGAAAGCATTATTATTACGATTCATTCAATCTGATATTTCTGTTTTTAATAATGGAATGTAAAACATTGTTCAAATGTTACCACAATTTTTGTAGTTATTCGTTTATAATACACCTTTTGCCCCAGATGTTTAAGCTTAAACTTAGTGGTGAGTATTATACGCGAGAAATATTAGTTTTTTTTTCCGACTACGTTATTTTCGATCATACCTATCTGAATAGGGTCACCATATTCGGGAGGATATGTAGAATAGACAACGGTTGACCCTAGAATTGAAAAGATTAAAATTGTAGTGGTTTGGGAAGAATCTTTTTGGGAGTCTGTCACACAAAGTAACCGTTTTGAGTGGAACTTCCTCCTTACAAAAGGAATACGTATGGAACAGGAATAATTTGACGATGTTAATATCGCATAGTGGGTTCTAGACGTGAATTTTCGAACCTGTGTTACCACTGAACGTAGCTCGTTTGAATATTCGACATAGTAATTAGTCACAGGCTGTAAGATAGGGGTTGTAATTTGGAAAATAATTAATCACACACAAGTCCACGTAATCCCTTTTATCTGTGTTCAAGACTGCACAGTAAGGACTATACAGCAACAGCCTAGAAATGTCAGCAATTCTCCATTATTGGTCGATGACTGAAACAAACTTATATGTAAAAAGATCTTAAAATCTTTAACAAAATACTGTATTTGTTTACAAAAAAAAATCATTAGAATAGACACTAATCGCGTATTAGCCAGCTTCAATGTCAATTTTGATCAAGTAAGGCATCATGGCATTTTTATAAATGGTTCTTTATATCCGATCTCGTCGTCGTTGTCCACAGAGTCATTTTGTCCTTTCTCAAAAATGGTATTTTCATTGCTTTATAGTGCGTTATTGATGTAGTATTGGCTTTGCTACAATAAATTAGTAGTACTATTGTTCATTTCCGTTTTATGCCACTACAGGGAAATAGCCATTATCGACTAGAATGTTCATTTGTATATAATTTTCTTTCTACTGGTGTCAGCTTATTTTCATCGAAGGTCTTTGAATATGTCTGCGCATTTGCTGTAAAAAGTGTGTAAACATTGTGTTTCAAAACATTATGTAAATTATATAAAGTTAGACAAATGTTAAATCTAGGTTTAAAATTAACCGGTAGAAATTCTTTAGAAAACAAAAAAAAAACAAAAAAAAAAAAAAAACAATGCGTATTATACACGAGGTTATATTTTTGTGCCAACGTGTCCATGCGTTTGTTCTAAATAATGAGTAAATTTTGTTTCAAAACATAATGTAAATAATATAAATTCTTATTTTTAGTCGATACGAACTAGACAAAAAATGAATAGATGTTACATTAATTGTAAACTAACAGAACGTATCAGGTCCAAAGTTAAAAGTGTGTTTATCTGAGTGCGTATTATATACAAATAATTGCCACAATTCCTAAAAAGCAATTTTCGCACTGTTTTGAACTGATCATTGGAGTTGACATGTTTATATATATATATATATATATATATATATATATATATATATATATATAAAATCCGATATAATCATCGGATTCTACTTAAGAGCACTCAAAATTTGCAGCCCTTAATATTTACATGAAGAGGAGAAATACATTGAAAAATCTTTCAAGCTTCTTCAATATCCTGCCCTGTCAGAATATACCAATATATTCACTGGGTAATAAGTGGCAAATACAACATACCACGGGAAAACTTTGTTAAGAACACAAACCAAATCCTGTGCCATCTACATGAAAATATATCTGTGTTTTACCTGTCCAAGCAAACAACAAAAAAGACCATTAAATCGAATATCGCTGGCAAAGATTTGCTGGAAAAAATTGCTTGACTATTGATGTAACAATTCCTGCTTATTCAAATAATTCAATGAAATTGTTCAACAAACTACATGAATTCAGAAGATATGGCATCTCAGACGATCACAATTGAGTGTTGTTCTCATTTTTATTTCCATATTTACGAAGTTTCAACCGTTTTACGCCCCGGCCTTCTTCAGGTGAACAATGTAAATAGTGCAAATAATTACAATACGTCATCTCTGAAATATAGACAGAATCCGAATTATTTTTGGATCTCTATGAATCATAGCAAAAATATATGTAAAATTATGTTTCCCAACAACCCTGTGAACAGACTTTAGCTGAAATACAAAAGATTGTACTCATGGGTACTTTCTACGCCATCAGAAAAGTTTTATCAATGTAACAGTTTATGAATCTATACTATTTTTAATTTGCTTGCACATTCTTCTACATTCACAGAACCCTTCACATTTTGCAATGATTCATTTTTATGTTTTGAAGATTCTTTGATATTATTCCAGTTTTCTAGACTTTCCATTTAATCTGATTGCACTTTTTAACTGTACAGTATTTTATCTCTGCAGAAACATAGACATTTTATTGGATGTTTTGAAATAATATACGCAATCATACAGAACCCTAAAATTAAGAAAAAATAACGCTGAGAATGTCAGCACCATATCCAACCAATTCTACCAAGAATCCTGATCTGTTGACTAGCAGTATCTTGAGGTCTCAGGTTGAAACTTAAAAGGGAGATCGTAAAACAATCAAGCAGACTCAAAACACAACCAAAACAACAACAACAACAACAACAACAATAATAATAATAATAATAATAATAATAATAATAATAATAATA